CACACACACACACACACACACACACACACACACACACACACACACACAGAAATGTTTTCTCACTGAAGGATGAGTCATTGCTTAGTGAAGGCAGCATCTCCTCACCAGAGTAGGGAAGAGGTAAATCAGAAAGCAAGCAGCCAGAGATTGATGAGGGGTTACTCACACACAGGCACACACACTACTCATATTACACCTTAAAACACGCCCTCTCACTTGCATTTTGTCATATTGTACTTCTACTTCTGAAGTCCCCTATAAAAAAAAATATAAGCCGGCAAACTTGGCAATCCAATTTCTTAAACTTAAATTGATCGAAGAAGCCAGAGAGATAGGACGCTCATGTACACTCTTTTTTTTTTTTGCATCTGTAAAGCAGACACAAACACCCACACTGCGCATCTGTGTGTGAACCTCACCCACATATGTGGGTACCTTAAGAAATCTAATTTCAGATGGCCACTGGCCCTGAAACACTGAAAAGTGAAACACAAAACAGGGTCGAGAGATAAAAGAAATATGAGTGTGCAGTGGAGCTATGGAGACATTACTCCTCTTTCTATCAGCTCCTTTTCTCCCATATACTCCTTTTTTTCCTGCTGCCCAAATAAGACGAGAAAAGTAATAGAAAAACAGCTGACCTGTGATATAATGTGAGTGCTGCTTTCTTGCTCTTATTCTGTCTTGCCTTCAATGTGTTTTTTCAATTGAATCCAAACTGCGAAATTTTAATGACTAAAAGCTCCTCAGCACACTTTAACCTTTTACCAGCACCGCTGAAGAGGTGGACACAAGGACATACCGGGATTGGTCTGTGCGTACTGTTTATGTCGGCTTTTATTCGATTTAAGTACACTGGCAACAAAAGAAAATAAGGGGCAAACTTTAAAATGAAAATTGTGCCAGTGCAACGATCCTGACATTTTACATGTATTGGCTATAAAAATATTTAAATTTAACAGACATTTATTTATGTTTTTGGATACAGCTGCATTTTCTTTGAATGTATGACAAAGCAGAGATACAACCTTGGAATGATACAATAAAGCACCTATGGTTATTAACAGGGGATTTAGCTTTATCCTGTTACTGCTCAGGCATTATTCCTCTCTCACACTCAGCTTGAGCAATTTCCTGCCTATCACTAATCAGTCTGTTTGCACACACTACAGACATTTTGGCATGCTGCGAAGCGTCACAACAGGAAAGCATAGTTCTAACTAATATTAATTATAGCCACATTCCATTTAGGACTCTCAGTTCAGTGGCCGTCATCATTAAAGTCATTAATTCATAGTGTGAATGAAAAAAGCTATTACATAGCAGAAAATGTAGAAGACTTTTGAAAATGCTTCAATACTGAACCAACTGATGGTGAAGAAGTTCAAGCCTCACGTTTTGCCAGCTGGTTGAATCAAGATGAAATAAAAACAAAAACATTTACAATTCTACCTGTAATAAGGAAAACCTACCCTATTTAAATTGGATCAATCTTCTTTTCCAGCTCGTCTCCCTGCTCACCTCTGGAGAACTTCCAGCATTGCTGCTGTTCTTGGCTGCTGTGAAAACTGCATTTGACCACTTATGTGTTTTGCTTTTGAGATGCCCCCTGGATCTGCTCCAGAGTTTCAAGGTAGTGACCATTATAGTTAATTTT